TGCGCGTAGCTTTTTCGAGTGATCTCCTTCTCAATAATACCTCCATGGTTTACCTAAATAGCATATGTAATACGGAAGTACAAGCCGCTGCACCTAAATACACCAACTTCAGTATGCTATTGCACTATACTTAGTTTCGGTCATAATGTATGTTATTAGTCAGACAATAATATTATTATAGTGCAAAAGCTACCTTATATACATATAAATAAAGCACATGAGTTATTCAAGTAGGGAATAATATCTGAAATGAGTATGGATATTTGTTTCGCGCCATTATTATAAAATAAGAAAAATATAAGAGAAATTATAGTACCGGAAACTGAGTAGTAACGTTGCGGCTTACTGACTTATGCTACATGTCAGATAGTACACGTTTGTTAAAGAAATTCAAGTTAGGTGAACGCCCAATCAGCAAAATTTGAAACACTCCTAAACAATTTGTTTTAATGAATTTCAGTTCTATGAACATATACATTAACCTAAAAGCAGCGTAATAATGACGGATGCGAACGGGTTGTTGAGTGTTTTCGGTTTCTCAAGGCTACAAAAACTAAATAAAGATCGCTTTTCAATAAACCACCTTCGGATATCTAACATTTCCGTTTCGTATTCACTATCCTTGAAAATAAGTACCTCTACATAATTTAATGCTACATCATTCTTCCAATGATTATTTTGGAATTAATTCATTTTATAACGTACTCAAAAATTTAAATTGTTTGAGAATGATGATAGACAACAAATTCGGGCTATGTTTCACGGTATCATCTTGGGGTACGTAGGACCGTTAACACTTTAAGGCTGCTGTACATTACATGGGTAGGAATTTGATCTAAAGGATCTTAGAGAAAATCACTAGCATTGTATGGATCTCTCCATACCCAAATAATATACCACCTCAAAAATAGGAGATTAAACATTTTGATATCAAGTGGCGTTGCCTCTTTCTGCAGCTCAAAAACACATTTCTTTCAATGAACACAACTTTTCTGAGCTACGAAGTGATTACAATGGTACTGAGAAATTATATTGGCGACTGTGAATATTTCTCAGAAAAATCGAGTTTAACCATCGTTCCACACATTTATATAATAATATTGCTAATGTTGACCAAACAACTGAAACATCTGATCTAATTTTGCAGGTCTTAACCCAGGTAAAACAAGAAATAAATATAAATGAAATAAACGAGTATTTATATTTGATTCAGCTTTTAGGCACAAAGGCCAAGGATATGATGAACAGTGAACTCAATGACTCTTCAAAGTAGCAATCCCTTGACAAGACAAACATACACACAGACGGATGCTTTACATAGAGACATTCATGAGCCATACGTGGAAGCAGTAGCAGTAGCTGCAGCAGTAATCATTATTATTAACAACCATAATAATGTAATACTTTTCACGAATATTTTGCTCATAAAACAATATTTTGTCTGAAATGTTATTGACCATTACTAACATTAAATGTACTACCCTTTCCATGTAATATTTATTTGATATTAATGATTTCTTCTAGATTCTAAGAAGCAGATACTGGAACTTTTGGATAGCTTTTCAAATTAAATTACAGTCTGGGTAATAATAATTTATAATATATTATCACTTGGGTAGTTATATGGTTACTTGTTGATTATATATATTCTTTATTTTTCCGTTCCCTACAAAAAAAAAAATAAAAAAAATAAAAAAAAAAACCTTTTTATTTGATAAAACACAGTTATACAGTCAGTATGACGAAGTAATGTGTAAATAGGGCTGCCTGTTACAGGAACCGCACGGCACGTGATCTACTTTTGATATGCTTGAACGCTTCAGTGTCTTAAACTGCAATGATACTACCAGGTTCTGCTATAAGAACAGCACACTATATACCATAGGCTACACAACGATTTAGTTTCTCCTTCAACAGCGTTATATCTGAATGCGATAGACTGTGTATATATCTAAATTATGATTATTCTTATCATTTTCTATTATTTGGTGTTGAGTTACCGATTTCGTTTGTCAGTTGGAGCAGTAGGCCTATGTAACAGCAATGTACCGAGACATCTCGATGGTGAGATATTGATTGGGGGAATATTTCCTATTCACGAGCGGTCTAAAGTGAATACCAGTTGGACTAAAGGGCCGCCGACGGAAAAATGTATGGATTTTTATGCTCCTTACTATATGGCGGCAGCTGCGGCTAGATTTGCCGTAATGGAGATTAGAGAGAAAAAGTACATTGATTTAGGGAATTTGAAACTCGGGTACAATGAACAAGAGTTTTGCAACTCCCCAGTGTCAGCAGCGGCGGCAACATTAAACCTGACACAAAATTATAAAGTGATGGCGATCGTATCTGGTGCTTTGTCTAGTAGTACGATCACCATAGGACCGATTGTTGCACATTACAGCATCGCCACCATTGCAACGTGGGCTACCAGTGAACTGTTAACAGACAAGAACATCTATAGAACTCTTTTTCGGACAGTTCCTAGCGATAGGTGGCAGTCACTGCTTCTGGCAAACATGTCCGAGTGGTTTAATTGGAAATGGGTTGGTGCAGTCGCCACTGATGATTCGTACGGACGGAGCGGTCTCCAGATATTCATAAACGAACTCAAAGATAAGGACATTTGTGTCGCATTTGAAACATATCTACCGGTTAATGGCACCAAAGAACGGGATAAATTTCTAGAGCAACTGGCAAGCTCAACAGTCGAGGTTATCTTCTTCTACGCTACGGTTGACCTAGACTTAAAGGGTTTCTTCCAGACTGCGGACGATAAGGGAGTATCACGTAAGTATTTTATACATGTGATCAATTCTGCAACTCATAATTCAATTTAATTTTCTTAGCTCATCATCAAAAACAAAACTAATTTTTCTGAACATACATAATGGATATATTAAAAGGCAACATACTGGAAAATGAAATGTAGAGACGTATTTTGGAGGTTAAGACGCTTGCTTCCAATCCCAAGGTCATGAGTTAAATTCCTGTGACAGCAGGATTTATTTATCGCAACTAAAAACAACTCTAGCTACTCCTTAAGATTGGGTAATGAAACGTCGCCGAGAAAGCATCACGGTAATATATTTAAGAGGGCTCCTGAATATCAGGCGACCTTTTATGGTACGCTGGACGGGTCACCCTCTATAAATATGGGTAAAAGCAGTGGCTGGAGATATGATAGCTGAATCTAAAAATGTATGATACAACCAGATATAGAGGCAGAGATTCCGATAACACCAGTCCAACTATAGCGTCAAGTGATTAAGAATAGAAAATGAAAATATAATTTATTAGTGAGAGAAAGAGTTGAAGAGACAGAATAGAAACAATGGGCTACGTAAAATAAAATATATATCAAGTAAGCGACGGGGCTCGACTTTTTGGAAAAAAAAATTTTGAAAAAAAAAAAATTAAAATAATTTAAGCATGAAATTAAAAATAGAAGTACAGACGTTGCACCTTTCATACCAGGTGTTCATGTAAATTTGTATAGGCCTATTGTTAGCTAACCAGCTGAGTGTATTCCTTTGTGAAAATGAGTGCCGCGGGCCGCCGCGTACTCATTTTCACAAAGCATTTGAATCCCCTCTTGAAAAGAGGGAACTTCGTAATAGTTGTCCCCATATCTTCGCTCATTAATCACCGTAATTTAGCTTACACGTATGCATGGAGGGAGCACTTAAAATGTACAATGATCATTTCACTACCCGACAAACCCCGAACTTTATTCATGCATTACATAAATAGTTTCATCTTGCTGTACTCCAACATCACTGGCGCATGGTAACAACCAACTGGCAGACCATTTCCAGTCACACATTACTCTCCATAACGCAACACCACTTGTTCCGTGTCATCTGGATTCTTGGTTATAATGCTGTTCCAAACCGGAACGGCATATATTCCAGAACTGGTCGAACTGCGCTTAGGTACTATACGCCATGACTAGATCAGCGGGAGGGACACCGTGTCTTTTAAGAGTGCATATGTAATGAAGTTTATTATTTCCCCTTTTAACAATAGGCCTATAGTTAATCTGAGAATCTCAACGAAGATCAGCTTGGGTATACACCCCAAAAAGTTTAACAGGATGACTAACAAAAAGGTTGTTAATAAATATTAAAGTGGGGTGGGAGATACCCGCGGCTTATCGGCCGGATGACGTTTGACAATTTTTTTTACAAATCCGGCTGTCCGGCATAGGACGAACAACTAGAACCATCATTCTATTGCTAGCTGGAACCGGGATTTTAGGCTTAAATAGGACACAATTGTGATCACTAAGGTCAATTGGCGAAAGGATTATTGGAGATTGGTAACATCGACGATGTATATTTGTAATGACTTTGTCCAAAACTGCGTCAGGCCTAGTATGCCGATCAACGACTTGAACCATTGTCCCGATAAAATCCCTTTAAAATCAAGACGATTAAAGTCGCCTAGGACAATTATTCCTGTATGCGGCTGCTTAGATAAAATCTGGTCAATTGTAGAACTCATATGCTCGATGAGGAAATCAGCAATGGGACTATTCGGTGGGTAATGAAAAATACCAGTGACCAGCTTAGCAAAAGATCTTGGTAGACGTTTATGGCGAAGGCAATCCCTAGAAGCTTCTATATCGTTAGGAACCGTAACGTCACTAAGATATTCACAAGAAATTTTCTCATTCACAAACAGAGCAACACCTCCACCAATATCTTTCAATATTTAAAGTATCAATAGGTTGCTTAGGAGTAAACCAAGACTCGGCTATAGCTGCAACATCCACGTCATTATGCTCCAAAATTAAACCTAAATCATCGAGTTTGTTATTGAGCGAACGAGGGTTGCTCAAAAGAATTGATGGTAGAAAATTAACAGAAGACGTGAATCGGTAGTGCATATCTTAATTAAATTGTCTAAATTACCAGGGCTAGATTTACTTCGGGAATTTGCACGTGTAGACGTAATAGTTTTGATGTTCCGATTCTTATTCCGGCCACTTCGACAACTTCTTAGTGATGTAGAAACAACCTCCAGATCCTTTAAATCTATAAAATACTTCTTTATAAGGTTTACTACTGCAATGGCGAAACCAACGAACAAGTTTCAAAAGTTTCATTCATAACAGCTGATTAGTTTTTGAGATATTTTGTCTAGGACGTTTGTTCCAAAATCAATTTAAATGGTCTTCACATCCACACCTTACTCCGTGCAGTCACCAACATTTAATAACTTTTTCATTGGGTTATACCTAACACTCCCTGTAAGTTTCAATTATGTCTGTGCAGCCGTTTTTGAGATATGTTGTACACAAAGAAAAACCACACGAAAACAGAAAAACGTGACACACACGCACGCACAAACTTACACGACTGAAAACATATATCTCCTGGCAGAGATAATAATATGAAATTACATATATCATTCCGGCATTAATTATCTTGGCCTAAGCCTTGTAATGTATCAAATAGAACCTCAATACTATTTACTAGGCCTATAATTAATAACTAAGGCTATGTACTTAATTATCCAAAAACCTAGGCCTTTTTATTACTCGTGCAGCTCAATCAAATATCAAATTTTAAATGAAAATGTACAATATGAAACTAGCCATCAGTTATTAGCATGGTAACATCAATGCATTTAAAAAAAAAAAAAAAAAAAAAAAAAAATAAATAAAAAAAAAAAAAAAAAAAAAAAAAAAAAAAAAAAACACAGCAACGCATTTCTGGGGTTTTGTAGACGTTTATCTTTCGTTGATGAACTTTTGCCGCTTGAATTTTGTAATATGAAATTTTGGAATCGAGTCATTCGACAAGGCCCAAGTGGAGTTTCATGCAAATGTTTCGTAGGGGGAAAAATCGCAGACAGGCGAGCATCTATTTCATACGTTGGTGGTGCCAGTCACAGAATACTTGACTGAAAAGTAGCAACAGCCAAGCCACAATCGTTTAGTATGTATAAATGTATGTATGTATGTATGTGTGTATGTGCGTATGTATGTATGTGTGTACATATACATGTATGTAAATGTATGTACATATATATGTATATGTATGTATGTATGTATGTATGTGTGTGTGTGCTCTGGTGAACCCATACCAACCGATGACACACGTGTGAAGACACACCTGTTTAGCGATGACATACTCGCAAGCGATGACGTCGCCAGTTGTCGAAATAGCTTTAAACAGTGAGAGCTCCCTCTATACACCACCTGGTGAGATTTCTGAGCTTTTCCTCAAAAGTCACCGTTAGTTAGGAATTTTTTCAAGTTCATAGACACACGTTGTGTGTTGTAAAAATAAGCAGCGTCTGCTTGTTTTTCTTGTTCCTGTTGCGAGTCACTGAAGTACACTCATTGTATCGTTGTCAGATTATCATTTAAATTTACCGCTTTCACCGAGATGTGACTAAAGGGTTTCACTGTCCTTTTTATTTAGTATTACGCTTAACGCAATAAACCATATCCTTCTCCGGACTCAGTAGAATTGAAGAAAGTAGTCTGTTGTATTCTTTGGTGTCGGACATCCCTACATTTTTGGTGTCAGAAGTGGGATCGAGTGGTTGATTTGGCTAATACTAAAAGGACAGTGATATGGCAAGCAAGGCATCTTTGCGTGATGTACAGCGGACAGTGGAGGAGTTGCGAGCTGAACTTGCGGAGACTCGAAGAGCAGCTGCTGGTAATGGAAATGGAGCTGTGTATGTTCTACCTGAGAAAAAGCTAAAGTCATTTTCTGGAACAGAGGGTAACACAGTGGAAGCATTTGTAGAAGATGTTCGAGCGACACTGCGAGTCAGAGGCTTGCAGGGTAGGAGAGCTGCAGACTTCATTCTCTCACACCTCGAAGGGGCTGCCCGACGAGAAATTAGACACCGACCGGAGGTAGCAGGTAATCCTGATGAAATCTTAGAAACACACCAACGACACCAATCTGTGTATGGTTCTGATGACACGAGACTCCGTCTGGCTGATATTGATGAGATGTTGTTAGGTCTGATATTTTAGTAACGTAAATAACGTGTGTACATTGTGAATATTGTAATCATTTATTAAGTTTGAGGACAAACTAGATTTAAGCAGGGGAGTGTGGGGATCTGGCTATAGAAAGCCCGCCCTAAATTCGTAGGAATGTTCTTTGTTCCTAAGCTTGCCTTTCGCCCGCTCATATCCGCTTTTTTTTCTTGTTCCTGTTGCGAGTCACTGAAGTACGCTCATTGTATCGTTGTCAGATTATCATTTAAATTTACCGCTTTCACCAAGATGTGACTAAAGGATTTCACTGTCCTTTTTATTTAGTATTACGCTTAACGCAATAAACCAAATCCTTCTCCGGACTCAGTAGAATTGAAGAAAGTAGTCTGTTGTATTCTTTGGTGTCGGACATCCCTACATATATATAAATATATATATATATAAAACTATATATATAATATATATATATAAATATATATTAATATATATATATATATTAATATATATATGTAACTATTAACATATATATATAAATATATAGGCCTATATATAAGTATATTTATATATATAATATTACTTTTCTATTATAAATATGTAGTACTACAATTTTCAAATATATAGGAACATGATGTTATATATATATATTGATATATATGTAAATATTAATATATATATATAGGCCTATATATAAGTATATTTATATATAATATTACTTTTCTATTATAAATATGTAATACTACAATGTTCAAATATATAGGAACATGATGTTATATATAAACTTTATTTCGCAAATCAAATGCATATCAAAATTCAAATATAG